GACTCAGTGAGTAATAATCATAAATAATGGCTGAAAGCAAGAAAACACGTAAAGGCACAAAGCAATTCTATATCAAGCAGTAAAATCACTTAAGGCAGTAAATCCATGAAGAAATCAAATGAAGTTCCTTTAAACCAAGTAAAACAGGTAATTTAACAGGTAAATAACAAGTATAAATCCACCCCTTGAGCACAATAACAATCACTCAGAACAGTATCAGCCCCTCGGGCTCACTCTCGGTATAATATCAGCCCATCAGGCTCACTTTCAGTACAACATCATCCCCTCGGGCTCACTCTCAAATCATGATGGGTACCCGCACTCACTATGGAGGTGCAGACTCCGAAGGGGCCCCTTACGGCCCAAGCGCAATATCAATTCATCTCGTGGCATCAAATCTAGGCCCTCGGCCTTATATCAATCAAGCCACATCGTGGCATATAAAAAAAGTATTTCAGGCCCTCGGCCTCATATCACTCAGCATATCCTCATATATGGCCCTCGGCCTCACTCAGTCCGAAAATCATCACAAACTCATCGAGCATTAGTAAAACAGTAGTTCTCAACCCAAAACATCATTTAGAAATATCATTTAAGTTCAAATACGAATAAAAGTGGTTGAATTTGTAAAACAGTAAATATCAACAGGACTGAATTCAAGTAATAAGTCAAACAGTGAGGAATTAGTAATAAAAATCCCCGGATGGTTCAAATAGTTGGCACGAAGCCCAAATATGACAATCAGCCCAAATCATGATGATAACAAATAAGTTCCAGTCAAATATGCGGTAAAATCATCAATTGGGATGGACCAAATCACAATCCCCTATAGTAAAATACCTCACGCTCATTACCCAGCGTGTGTCTCACCTCAATACAACACTACGATGTGCAATCCGGGGTTTCAAACCCTCAAGACATTATTTACAATCATTACTCACCTCGAACCGGCTACAACTCTAGCTTGCGATGCCTTTGCCCCTCGAATCGGCCTCCACGTGCGTCAAATCTATCCAAAATCAAAACGAATACGTCACAATATGCTAAGGGAACAAATTCCAAGCGAAAACAATCAAAAAATATCAAAAATTCCGAAATTAGCAAAACCCGAGCCCCGGGCCCACTTCTCGTAACTCAAAAATTTTCACATCATTAGATTCCTTATTATCCCACGAGTTCATACATACCAAAAGTTCTCAATTCCGACCTCAAATGGTCATTCAAATCCAAATTTAAAAGTTCAAAATCTCAAGCCCTAGTTCTTCCATTTTTTGCTTAAGTTCCAAGAATTTCTAGGTTAATTTCACAATAGATTTGAGTTTTAGGTTCGAAAATCTTACCTCCAATCAATTCTCCTTGAATCCCTCTTTAATCACCTTCAAAAAGTTCTCAAAATACTCAGCTATGGAGGAAAAATGGCTCAAAATTGCGGTCAAAATAACTTATAAACTTTCTGCCTAGAGGTTTTTGCATCTGCGACTCCACCACCGCTCCTGCGGTACCACTTTTGTGGTAATTCCTCTGCATCTACGAAAATCACTTAGGGGACCAGGTTCCGCATCTGCGGTCCACTAGCCGCATTTGCGACTCCGTAGGTGCGGTCATGTGCCGCATCTGCGGTCCCTGGCTATTCTTCCCAAACCGCTTCTGCGGCTCTTCTTCCACATGTGTGGCACCGCACCTACGGTCCCAAATCCGCAGGTGCGGAGATACCAGAAGCAGCAGAAAATCTGCCATCACTCAAGTTCCAAAACTTCCCGTTAGCCATCCGAAATCACCCTGAGGCCCTCAGGGCCTCAATCAAAAGCACCAACATGACCCAATACCTTATTCAAACTTGTTCCAATCATCAAAGCACCTCAAACAACATCAAATTACTCAAAACACATCGGATTCAAGCCTAATTTTTGAGAAATCTTCCGAAATACGTTTTTGATCAAAACCCCAACCAAAGCATGTCCGTATGACTTGAAATTTTGCACACACATCCCAAATGACATAACGAAGTTGCTGCAACTCTCGGAATTCCATTCTGTCCTTCGGATCAAAATCTCACCTACCAACCGGAAATCGCCAAAATACTAACTTCGTCAATTCAAGCCTAATTTTACACCGGACTTCCAAAATCGATTCTGATCACACTCCTAAGTCGTAAATCACCTCCCGAAGCTAACCGAACCATCGAAACTCACATCTGAGCCCTCTAATACATAAGTCAACATCCGGTTGACTTTTCCAACTTAAACTTTCTTGAAAGAGACTAAGTGTCTTATTTCTTACCAAATCCACTCCGAACGCAAACTACCCAACTCGCTCACATAAAACACAGATAACAAAGCATAAGGAAGCATAAATGAGAGAAACGGAGCGGTAATTCATGGGATGGCTGGACGGGTCGTCACAATAACACCCCCATTATTTCTTCTACTGAAAATTTCCCCCTAGTTCTGAAGAGGCAACGCAAAATTTCCCCTCAATTCTGACCGCTAAAATATTTCCCTAATGAAAATTTCTCAATCATACATCATAGCATCCACCATGTATATTGCTTCAAGGCCACCTCCGTTGTTGTTACCCTACTTCACTATCGACCCCTCGGTCGGCTAGCAGCGACCAAGTCCACCATTCAAAAAACTGAGATAAGGCATTGAAAGAAACTGAGATGGTCTTGCACTGAGTCGACCGCGACACCCACTGAAGCTGCCTCCATCGACTTTCTGCCCCTTCATTTCCTTTATTGAAGTGGTTCACTCCACTTCCATCGCTTGTGTGTTTATCTTGTCAGACCCATTTCTTTTAATTTCTCGTTACTAATACTTTTTGGGTGTCTCAATGCTTTTATTTTAAGATCTGTACATAATTTTGGTACGGATTTTTGTTGTTATACTCTATATATTTATAGATTTGAAGTTGTAAAACAAAAATCCCTAGCTGCACTTGAAGGATTATTTAGGAGCTGGCCGTGCTTTTTCCCCCTTAATATTTTCAGTTCCAATGAGGTTAGTCATAAATTTTTGTTAAATTAGTCTACGTTCAATTTCTTCTATGCCTAATGGTTATAGATAAACCAACTCAAGATATAATATTGAAGTGTGTTCAATTTAGGGAGTTTATACAGGAGTGAGACTAGTAGATCCGACCATCAATGACCCTAGTGAAAGAGTTGAAAATGCTTCTCTGGAAGAGAATGGAGATATGTGAGGTTTTGATTTTTTACAAAAGAAACTTCAAGTCTCTTGTCTGCATTATGTGATGTTTGTATATTGAAGGGGGATGGGTGGTAAGAATGAAAAAATCAAAAGTCATCCAAACTAGGATGTGAATGGCAAATACTTATCCACACCGGGTGTTTACACCAAACTATATTAGCTTACTATAGTTAATTAATTTAATTAGATGAGAATGCATATAATTTACTAGTTAAATGATTGAAGTCCATATGCAAGACACATGTCATGTATCTATTGGTTTGGTATAAATACCCGGTGCGGGTAAGTTTTTACCAATGTGAATTTTTGGCTTCCCCTATAACCAAAAAACTGAGTCTCCATAATATTCTTTTTTCACAACCTTACGAGGCTTCTTTAGCTTAAATAAATATCATATCTATGACTAAAAGCTACAGGACTTGTGCAAGAAATTAAATCTTGATGGATTTTCTCTTGATGAAGTTGATGCTCCTCGTATTTTCCTCTCTGGACAATATCGTTACTAAGAATGATATAATTCAACATTCTTTTTTTTTGTTTTCAGTTAAAAGATTCGTTCTAGGAAAAAAAATATGTTCCCTGATTAGCTTGTATTTTTTTATCCTTTTTCTTTCCGTTGGACATGTGCTTGCTCACTACTAAAAGGTTTTATACTGGATAGGTATGTATATGATATCGCTTTTTATAGGTATGAAAATGGTATCATTCTGGGAAAACTCAGGTATGCTTTAATTGTTTAGTCATTATTTGTTTTGTTATGGTGATATTCTGATAGATATTGTTCTTGTGGTTTTGTGATATTACTTTTTAGATTGCTATCATCTTGTAACGACCCGACCGATCATTTTGAGTTTTTATACTTTGATCGCCAGTTCTCGGGCATGACTTGCCTCGTGTAACGTATTATGACTGATGTAGATCGTTGGTTTTGGTTTTCAGGAAAAATCGGAATGAATTTGAAGGAACAGTCTCAGTTGAAAGCTTTGAATTTGAAAGGTTGACTAAGAATTGACTTATTTCTATATGAGCTCGGATCGGAAATTTTATGATTTGGATAGTTTCGTTGGATGATTTATGACTTAGAAGCGCGATCGGAATGCATTTTGGAAGCCTGTGGAAGGATTTGGCTTGAATTGGCAAAGTTAGTACTTTGCGAATTCCGGTTGATAGGTGAGATTTTGATTCGAGGGTCAGAATGGAATTTCGATAGTTGTTGTAGCTTCGTTATGTCATTTATGATCTGTGTGCAAAATTTCAGGTTATTCGGACATTGTTTGGTCGGGTTTTTGATCGAAAGTGTATTTCGGAATTTTTTTGAAACTTAGGCTTGGATTCGATGAGTTTTGGGTAATTTGATGTTGTTTGAGGTGTTTTGATGATTGGAACAGGTTTGAATGATGTTATGAATTATGTTGGCATGTCTGGTTGGGGTCCCATGAGGCTAGGATAAGTTTTGGAAGAGTTTTTGGAAGATTTTTGTCATTTTGAGCATAAGCATGTAATGATCCAAAGGTCCATTTTTAGTTCTAGAGATCGAAATTTGATTTTGAGACTTCCGGAATTTTGATAATTAATTATAGGACTGATCTGGAAAGTTTGGTCTAATTTCATCAAGTCGCAATTGGGTTTTTAACGCGAAACATGAGTTAATTGTTTAACGAGCGAAATGGGTATCGAACTAAGCAAATGGGCTCCGAATTGAGTTTCGACTAAAGGGCTATGTTCGTATTATTATTTGTGACTCATAGGAACAAAAATCATCGAATTCCGAGTTCGTATGATGGAGTTAGAGCCTTTTTAGTGAAAAGAAAAGCTACTGCAATTTTCTGGGCAGTTTCTTCATTATTCGCACGTGTGAACAGTAACCACACCTGTGTGAACAGTATCTGTGAAAAGTAAAATGCGTGAACACTAACCGTGAAAATTTCTGGACAGTGTATGATTCGGGCAGTCCGAGAGTTTTCTCATTTTTGGAGCTGTGGAACTCGGATTGAAGCGATTTTCGAAGCGATTTTCACCATATGGATTGGGGTAAGTGTTCTATATCCAAAAGTGATTATATTTAATGATTCCATGGTTATTTTGCATCAAGAATTAATGAATCAAATGGAAGAAATTGGAGAAAATTTGTAAACTTTTCAAAAACGAAAATTCTAGATTTAGAGGCCGAATTGTTATCGGAATTTAGTAATTTTGATATGGTTGGACTCGTGGTTGAATGGGTTGTCGGATTTTGTGAGTTCCGTCGAATTCTGAAGCGTGGGCCCGGGGCCGGGTTTGAGCAATTTCGGGTTTTTGATGTTAAATTGGATATTTTTCGAGTGGGCTTCGCTCCCTTAGCGTATTTTAATGATTATGTACGGATTGTGGCTAGATTTGAAGCATCCGAAGGTTGATTCGTGCGGGCGAGCATCGCGGGCTAGATTTTGGACCGGATCGAGGTAAGTAATGTTTGTAAATACTGTCCTGAGGGTTTGAAACCCCGCATTATACGTCCTTGTGTTACTTTAAGGTGACTTGCACGCTGGATGATGAGCGTGGGGTAGAACACCACTGGGGATTGTGACCTAGTCCATCCCGAACGAATATTTTAATGCGTATTTGATAGATAATTGTTTGACATTATTATATTTTTGGGTTGTATGCCATGTTGGGGCCTTGTGCCGACTTGTTGAGACCCTTAGGGGCATTTTTACTATCTTTCCTCACTCTATTCGTTTGAAATCATATTCTCAGTCATGTTTTACCTGTTTACTGCTCAAATCTGGTTGTATCACTATGTTCTTAAAATGTGGAAATTGTTTTGGGCCGAGTTCCCTGTTTTACTGAGATAGACCGAGGGTCTGATTGTAAGATTGATGACTGAGATAGACTGAGAGTCTGATGGTGAGGTTAATGACTGAGAGAGGCCGAGGGCCTAGTTGTGAGGATTATATATCTATGGATCGGGCTGCACGCTGTAATAATATATATATATATATATATATATATATATGGATCGGGCTGCACGCCGCAACAATACTTATATAGATCGGGCTGCGCGTCGCAGCAATATAGCGTTTGGGCTGTAGGAGCCTCTCCGGAGTCCGCACACCCCCAGTGAGCACAGTCGACTATTTATATGGATCGGGTTGTGCGCCACAGCGATGCATGGATCGGGTTGCACGTCGCAGCGGTTACTTTGATTTCAGTTATTGTGAGAGATATACGGATCGGGCTGCACGCCGCAGCGGTTACTATATGGTACCAATTGAGCGTGAATGTTGAGTGCGAGTACTGATTGGTAAGAGTTGAGTCACGAGTGACAGAGAGGCTAGCCCGAGGGGCGATAGATATATACATGCATATGAGTGATGTTTTTGCCTGAGAGGCCTGTTTATGGACTTATTGATTTCACTCCTCTTTAAAGTGAATTTCTATCGAATATGTTGATTTATCGGCCGTTTTTACTCATCTTTATATTGAGCCTCTGTCGGAAAGTTGAACAATTGTTTTAAAACAACTTTTATTTAAACTGGGGTTTATGAGATGTTCAGAAATTAATCACTGATTTGGCATTGGTTATTTCCACTGAGATTTTTAAGTTATGAAGTGTTTATGATTACTGTTTTGCCTGAGGGACTGTTTTACAAACTATGTTTTGCCCGAGGGGCCGATTATGGCTTTAATCTCTATTATTATCTTAAATGGTATTGAACCCCTACCAAAACTGCTGGAAAGTATTTCAAAATAATTTTTACTAAAACCTGAATTTTAAAAGGGAAGATTGACTCGTATTATGATTTGAAGGCTTGTTGTGTTATTGAGCCTAACGTGAATGTGAATTCATTATTTCCTACTGCTCAGCCTTTATTTTACTCTTATTACTTACTAGGTTGGAGTACTCACATTACTCCCTGCACCTCGTGTGCAGATTCAGGTATATTGGAACCTGGTAGCGGGTGTTGATAGCTCAGCTGCGGAGTCATCAAAGTTAGCAAGGTGGTTGCATGACGTTCACAGTACCGCTTCCTTCCCCTCGTTGTTGTTACTGTATTTAGTACATTTTTAGACTTTTGTTGTATTCAGACCTTGATAGTTACTCATGACTAGTGACACCCCGATGTCGGGCTGGTATTTTATTCCGCACTGTTATTCCAGGATTTTATTATGAAACATTGTTTAATTTAAAGACTTAAAAATGACTCTTAATGCTTAAAGGGTTTAAGGTGAGTGTTGTGTCGGCTGGCCTTGTCTTCACGAGAGGCGCCATCACGACCGGGCCGGTTTGGGGTCGTGACAAGTTGGTATCAGAGCCTAGGTTACATAGGTCTCACAAGTCATGAGCAGGTTTAGTAGAGTCTCGCGGATCGGTACAGAGACGTCTGTATTTATCCTCGAGAGGCTGCAGAAACTTTAGGAAAAACTTCACATTCTTGAATTCTTATCGTGCGTCATTGATTCACCTTGAAAGGTAACTCCTTGAACTCTTTCCACGCGTTCGTATGCGCGCTTGAGCGCTCGATATCAGATGTGCATCGATGGCTTGTGATTCCCTGATCAAGGGGCGAGATGCGATCTCTGTGAGTTGATGTTGGGCCAGTCTGGAGGACTTGAGGCCGGATCTTTGCCTATGGCTTGAGCACCGAGGTGCTGATTGTGTGAGCAAGTGTTTTGAACTTAAATGTTCGGTATTGTCGCTATTAGTAGGAGTGACGGCTGGTTAGCTACGTGATGAGTATGTTAGTACTGTGAGATGTATCTATGTAACTTGGAAGTGACGAGGAAGGTCTGCGGGATGATAGATGAACTATTAAGTGTATAATTTCCATTGTGATTGGATGTGTAGCTCTGAGTTATGGGTGTGCAAAGAGTCTTTTCATGTGTCCTAGTTGGGAGTGAAGTAAATTTCATGTTTTGGTATGAGTTCAGACTCAGGAAGACTAAGTGACTACGTAATGGTTATGACGGTGGAAGGCATACATAAATGTTAGTTTAAGGCGAAGAAGGTGGGTTATCTCATGCGAAGTTTTTCGAGGTTATACGATCCTTATGTGTCTGTTAGATTTGCGAGTGAAGGATACGTGTTGCAACTTAAATTGGGTCGCTTAGTGAGTGAGTGTAACTGTTGCGAGAGTGGAATGCGAGATTTGCAGAGGAATTAAAATTCTAGATGATCTGTGTTTTCACAAGCTTATAAAAGATTTGAGTTTAATCTCATTAT